ATCACATAAAATTTTATTTGTCAAAACATCATTTTTATTTTATCACATAAAATTTTATTTGTCAAAACATCATTTTTTTATTTTTAACAATTATTTTTATATTGATCATAATTAATTGATATATATAAAAATAGGATTTTATAGCTTCAAAAATAGCATTTTTGGGCTTAAAAATGTTCATAACGGTCGACCGTTGGGTCCGAACGGTCGTTCGTTCCATTGGAAAAATGCAGGGAATTGAAGGTTTACTATTCATCATCTTCAACCTCTAACCCATTTTTCTCAAGTTCCATTTTTGGTTACCAAACTTCAATTAAACTATATAGAAATATTCTCCAAGGTTTGTAGATCATTTTAGAGGCATCAATTCGAAGTTTTAACAACAAATTCAAGGTTTATGATTCATGGTTCTTCACATATGTCAAACACAAAATCAACCAAATGACCATTTATGAACGTAGAAACGATCTATACGAACATTCTAATCACTAGATATATCTACGGGGTTACTTCGGAGTGAAACGATGATTCCGGCGGAAAAACGGTGAAACTTCCGGCGAACACCACGGCTTGCTCCGGCGACTTCACACCAAATTGAGAACACTACTTTACTCTCTATACTCACACCTTTGTTTTGGAAGAAGAATGGTGAAGAATGGTAAGAATTTGGGGTATTATATAGTGGTAAGGAGAGGAAGAAGACATGGCCGGATGACCTCCTCTTGCACTGTTTGTTCGGCAGGAGTGGGAGGGGCGACAGATTTGATTAATTCCTTACGTAAGTCCCTGATCGGGACTAATTTGGTTCCAATTGGGGTACACTTTTTGGTCCAACTTTCTCCGAATTAAAATCTGATTGAACCATTACGGTCAGATAGTTATACTCTATTTAATGATATAATTTTTATATTTATTTGAAATACTTTTTCTGACAGCATATTTTTGGGTGTTGACTTTGACAGAGTCAAAATTGAATTAATTGATATGTAATCAAAATAAGTCTCATATTCAATCAATATTATTAAATGTAAATAGTTATTTCAATAAACCATTTTTCAAAAAGTTCACATCTTTGACTTTTTCTCATTTTTATACAAATTACATATTTAAAATGTCATAATTGAAAATCCGTACATCAGATTTATTCATAAAATATACCGTTAGATTTGTCTCTTTGAGACTTATCCATAAAAGTCAATCTTAACAAAAAAATCATTGACTCTAAAAATTCCTTCGTTTTTGGTCAAACATAGAAATAATATTTTTGTTGAGTCAAGATATTATTTCTAAAATACTTTTATTATAAAATAATATAACTTTTAGACCATATTTTGGGGCGTTACATTTCTCTCCCCCTTAAATAATTTCGTCCTCGAAATTACCTGAGTCATTGATTGAAGAGGTTCAGATATTGTGTTCTCATTGACTCTTCAGTTTCCCATGTTGCTTCTTCAGTCGAGTGATTCCTCCATAGTACTTTAACTAGAGGTACGGATTTGTTTCTCAACTGTTTGACCTCTCGTGCCAAAATTTGTACAGGTTGCTCTTCATATGTCAATTGTTCGTCAAGAGTTACGATTTCCTCAGTCAAGATATGCGATGGATCAGAACGGTATCTTTTCAACATCGATACATGGAATACGTCGTGAATTTTATTCAGTTCGGGCGGAAGTTCTAACCGGTAAGCTACTGGACCTACACGTTCAGTGATTCGGTATGGTCCAATATACCTTGGACTCAGTTTTCCCTTCCTACCGAATCGCAACACATTCTTCCAAGGCGATACTTTCAGAAATACCTTGTCATCCATGTTGTATTCAATCTCACGACTTTCTCTGGTCAGTAGCCACTTGTAGCCTTTCTCTGATCAGATGAACCTTTTCTTCCGTTTCTCGAACAAGATCAGGTCCTTCAAGTTTTTGCTCGCTTAACTCTGTCCAACATACTGGGGTTCTACAACGTCTCCCATACAGAGCTTCATACGGGGCCATTTGGATACTAGCTTGATAACTGTTGTTATAAGCAAATTCCATTAATGGTAGGCATTGTTCCCAGTTGCTTCCAAAATCTATTACACAAGCTCTCATCATATCTTCTAGAATTTGAATTGTTCTTTCAGATTGTCCGTCCGTTTGAGGATGAAATGCCGTACTAAAGTTGAGTTTAGTACCTAGGGCCTTTTGAAAACTCTTCCAGAATTGTGACGTGAATCGCGGGTCACGATCGAAAATGATAGACAAAGGCACACCATGTAATCTTACGATCTCACAAATGTACAATTCGGCCAATTTCTTTAACGACATATCACGTCGAATTGGGATAAAATGAGATGACTTGGTTAATCGATCAACGATTACCCACACAGCGTCATTCTTCTTGGCTGATAATGGAAGTCCGATCACAAAGTCCATCGTAATTCGTTCCCACTTCAATTCAGGAATAATGGGTGGATGCAACAATCCACTTGGCACTTGGTGTTCCGCTTTGACTTGTTGACACGTTAGACATCGTGTTGTAAATTCCGAGATTTCCCGCTTCATTGTGGGCCACCAATATGTTTTCTTCAGATCTTGGAACATCTTATTACTACCAGGATGCATGGTATATGTGGTTTCGTGAGATTCACGCATTAAACGCTCTCTTACTTCTCCACTAGGAACTACCAAATGGTTTCTGTAGAATAAAATTCCATCAGTCACAGTGAAATCTTGTCTCTCCCCCTTAGAGACAAGTTCACAAGTCTTCAAACAATAGTCATCACGTTTTTGTGCAGCATGAATTTCATTCTCAAGAGTAGGCTGGATCCGGAGTTCAACTATCATCTTTCGGCTCAAAGCGTCAGCAACTACGTTAGCCTTACTAGGGTGATAGTCGATATAACAGTCGTAATCCTTAATAAGTTCTAGCCATCTTCTCTGTCTCAGGTTCAACTCTTTTTGAGTTAACAGGTATTTCAGACTTTTATGGTCTGTATGAATATATGTCGTTCCTCCGAAGAGATAATGACGCCATATCTTCAGAGCAAATACGACTGATGCTAGCTCAAGATCGTGAGTAGGATAATTACATTCATGAGGCTTTAACTGCCTTGACGCGTATGCCACGACTTTTCCGTCTTGCATGAGTACACATCCCAAGCCATTATGAGATGCGTCACTAAAGATTGTGTAGTCTATACCTGGTACTGGTTGTGTCAGTACAGGTGCTTCTGTCAGACATTTCTTTAGTTTTTCAAAGCTTTGCTGACATGCGTCAGTCCATACAAATTTCACATCTTTTCTCAAAAGTTTGTTAAGTGGAGTTGCGATCGAGGAAAAACCTTTAACGAATCATCGATAGTATCCAGCTAATCCTAGAAAACTTCTCACTTCACGAACATTCCTTGGAACCTTCCACTCGATGATGGCAGATATTTTGCTAGGGTCCACTTTAACACCTTCCTTCGAAATCACATGACCAAGGAATGTGACTTCATCAAGCCAAAATTCACACTTGGATAACTTTGCATACAGTTTGTGTTCTCGTAGTACACTGAGTACTATCACCAGGTGCTTTGCATGGTCTTCTTGATGTTTTGAATATACAAGAATGTCGTCGATGAACACGACTACGAATTGATCAAGATAGGGCCGGAATACACTATTCATGAGATCCATGAATACTGCAGGAGCATTGGTCAAACCAAAGGGCATTACTGTGAACTCGTAATGACCATAACGGAACGCAGTCTTTGGAATGTCCTCTTTCTTGACAGGGATTTGATGGTATCCTGACCGTAAGTCAATCTTAGAGAATACAGTAGATCCTCTAAGCTGATCAAATAAGTCATCGATACGAGGTAAAGGATATCGATTTTTTATTGTGACTTTGTTTAATTGACGGTAATCGATGCAGAGTCTCATTGAGCCGTCCTTCTTTCTGACA